CAGATTATTTTTAATCGTCCACTTGCAGGAAATATAAGAATACATAAACGAGAGATCATATCCACAACGAAATTTTGATAGAGAAAAATTACGCGAAAAATTAGTATTGTATTGTTTAATAAAATCAATTTCCCATGAATACAAGACGATAACGGGAAAATCGGTTGATGTTCGACAAATGAAAGGTTTTATTTATCTTTCAGATATTTCGGTCCGTGTTTGATAACTTACGACTATAAATAGTTTAGAATTTTCTCGTAACTATTTAGAACGTCTGATAATTTATAATCGTACTGTAATATCACGATAAATTCCACTTTTAATAATCCACTTTGCCGTTATTGACACTTGCTGATTATATATTGAAATGTGAGGTTGTTAATAAAAATTTATAAGTTTTATAGGCTGCTTACGTTTTCGATTTTAAAAACTAAAAACGGATTTTAAAAAAATAGAAACGGAATAGAAAGTTCACTTTCTTTAATTTTGATGCTTAATGTGATATTTTTTTATACATCTATAAAATATATATAAGAGAGTCAAAGATACAACAGAGCTTAATTTTTGACTGATCTATGGCTTGATCAATCCAAATCTATTATTCAGTACAGAGATATTGGCAAATAATCGATTATTTATTTCACGAGCACGCTGACAGGTTATTTCCGAGCTAATATTGTATATCGAGCATTGCATGAGAAATTTGAATCAATCATAAAATGCTAAGTGGATCGCATATATTTGTACAATATTGCTTAAGAATTATGTATCAATTTTTTTTTGTAGTTCTGTGCGATCAAAATTTCAAAAATTTATTAATGTTAAATATAAATTTTTATATTATTCTTGTTTTACGAGTATATTGAACTCCGTTTTACTACGCAGTTTTGAAACAGTAGCACGCCTGTCTCTTTTTTTCTCGCTCTTTCTTTAGATACCACTATCTTCCATGAGACGAGATAAGTTTAAAGTTACGTGTCGAAGGAAACTGCAATAAGCATGTGCGTACAGTGGCGAAACTTTTTATTGTATTGTAATAATACGGACTAATTTATTTCATATTCTCTAAACTTTTTAAATTAAATTTAAATATTTAAAATAAATAAATATGTTTGAATGTTTGATTAATCCATATTATTCAATAAAAGTGTATTTTATATTTCAATTTATATGTCCTCTCCATTACTCTTTCGACAACTCGATTTAATTAATTTATATATATAAAAAAAAACGTACATACATGTAACAAAAAGAAAGTAAGAACAGCGATTATTTCTTCGGGGCATTGTTACATTCATGGATTTTCGTTAAATGTTAATGGTATAACCGGCGAAACGCAACGCCGGCCTCTTGCCTCTTTACCGCTCCGTAAATCTACAACAAACATCAAGAAAAAAAATGTCTTACCGAGTAGCTTGCGAACCTCGGCGAAGCTGAGGAAGAGATTGAAGTAACTCGCGGCTGGCCGCGCGACGACGATCAGCAGGATCACGAGTCGCCAGAGCATCGTGATCGCCACGTGACGCTTACACTTGGCTTGTATATTTACGGCCGCACGCGCGAGAACACCCGCACAACACACTCGCTACGCGCCGTTCATATTTCGCGCGATGCAAATCCGCGACGCGGCGACGACGACCACCCCGCGACAGGACCACCACCTCTCCCCAAAGGCGTCTGCACGTGACGCCTTTTTTCTGGCGGCGTGAGATTCCGCGCGAAAGCGCGCCGGTCCGGGCGCTCCCGTTTGACAGCTCGCACGTTCGACACGCGCGTTATATCCGACGCAGGGGCACTCCCACACGCGAGAAACGCGATTTCCTCTCCGGAACTTTCGCTTCGACGTCCCGATGCTCCTCGACGCGTGTCGAGCGACGCGCGTACGACGAAATCGACAGGACGGTGTAGCAACGCGGAATGGTGCGAGCGGAGCGGAGACGCTCTCATGGAGAGCGCGCGGCGTGCCTGCCTCGTGAAAGCCACAACCAGTTGTGTGCTACCATCGCCATGGGTCGTCTGGGGTCGGGGCAAGCCTGTCTACCGAGAGCGACCGAGTTCGGCCGAGACTTGCCGAGGTCCACCTACGAGGGAACTCAACGATGGTCGTGGTCGTGGGTCCATAGGAGGAGATCGAACAGCCACGCTCGAACGAGACCGGAATTGAATTTAAAATTCACCGACGGCGATATCGCGCGGGCGCTGAATGCTGCGCTGGACGCAACTCTCTCTCTCTCTCTCCCGACTCTCTCTCTCTCTCTCTCTCTCTCTCTCTCTCTCTCTCTCTCTCATTGTTTGCGATTTGATTGAAATTTGCGATGTCCGAGTGACAAATTCGTGGAAAAAATTGAACGCTCGAGAAATCGCTCCTTTTTGCGCGATCCTAGGGAACAAAGGGAAAACTCTAAAATTCAATTTGGATCATGTGATCGATGATTTGCAAGAGTCATTAATTGTTGGTTTTCAAGCGGTAACTTCTATTACTCTACTTTTTTTAGCCATCACCAATTTAGGATCTGAAAGGTGAAAGAGAATGCGTTTTAAAATTTTTTTAAATTTGATTCTATGCTATTTGTATGATTTATAGTGAGATAAATAATAAGAGTTAAAGAGTCTACCGCGATGAATCCTTTGATAAAACGATGTATATGAATATGAAGATAGTATGAATAAAATCGATGATTCTTGAATTAATTATATTAAAAAACGTATATTAAAAAACGATCCAAACAAGATAATATGTCATAGTATCAATGAGCAATAAGGTTCATTGATGTTCTTTTTGTCAAGTAAGTATTTACATCTTTTATGGTCATTTGACTTGTAATATTGGCGTTGCTAACCGTAAAAAATCGGAAGCGTAACAGCATTCTCGCGAGCAATAAATTTCTGGTCCTTTATTCACGGTACTTCGGTAACAGGCTACAGACTCCGTCACGTGTTACCTGAAGTTGAAAGTCGCACCTCATTCTGTCAGGTAGGCCACTTCGTTTCCTTCCTTTTCTTTGCGGGAGGCGTATAATACCTTGCTATCCAATTAACCGGTGCCAATCGCTAAAGAAACAAACTGAAAAGCTCTTTTCTTATTTTTTTTTTTTTTATTCTTTCATCAATATCATGCTCTATAAGGATTCAATTTTCTCAAGAACAAATCGAATTTTCTTAATGTTTTGCGTATCATTCGTAATTAATACAATTAATTACAAAAATTTAAATTTAACACTATTTAAATTTTAATATAAACTTAATTAAGTAAAATCACGTTTATATATTGAGTTGTCTCATAATCATTTAGTTTTTTTAATAGTGATTTTATATTAAAACGAATTCATACTAGTTACTAATTAATACTTTTTGTTTTCTTTTAATAATTTTTTATGTTTACTTTTTTACGTATAACGAACATTCCCGATACATCCTTTCTTTTTAATTGAGGAAATCACTTTTGTTCTTCCAACAATAGAATTTCTTTTTTGCGTGCAATACAAATGTTTCGAATGATCTCCATTTATTAGTAAAATTTCAATTGAATTCAAAAAGAAAAAACAGCGGAAACGTTCGTTTTTCTCAATTTACTTGTAGTTTCAATTTTAAAAAATTTTTATGGTTAATTTAAGTGAAAAACAGATAAGTCGTTTTGATAGAAGAAAACGGGAATTACAAATTGGTATATAATACCCCGGCAGTATGTAATTTTTTTAAAAATCATAGTCGAGAAGAAGCAGAATAAACTTATGAGACAACCCGATATTATATCTTTATATCCATGCGAAAATTGCTATGCAGATGTTGGGTTTATAGATCATACGTTCTGGTCGCGGAATATATATACTAGCTGATAAACTACGCTCGACAAATTGTTGACGATGAATTACGCACGATCACCCACGATCACTTTACGACATTTCTTTCTCTTCGGTCATTATCAGCGGGAGCAGCGTATTTCATCAAAAAGGGGCATGCGTGCTTGGTGGAAACGCGCAAAATGTGGAAGGCGAGGCGCTCTCGAATATTCATCCCGAAGAAATCGGGGCCAATTGGAATATCCATCGCGCATTTGCATAATTCGAGATCGACGACGGATAGAGAGAACGCCCACGTAGCCACGTCGAATCACGAATCGTCTTACGGGTCCACCTCTCCTTCTTCCTGTCTACCAGGACGTGCTTGATTACTGAACGCCGTTATTACGGACGAGATGCACGAGCGAGAGTACGGGAGGCGGGAGGCGCGGGGGGAAATATCAAGGCTCGTTTTGCAAATTCGCGGTTGATTGAAAAGCTCGTGCGGCATAAAAACTGAGGGAGATAACTGCGGCTGGGAAAAAACGAGAAAAAAGTCCGGATGATTACTCTCTTACCTATGTAGCATGGCCCATAGGTATTCACAGGATTCTGTCTGTTAACGGGCCTGATTGGAGGCCGATGGATGTGCGACGAGGAGTACGTTCGTATATGCGTCTTCTTCTTTTCCGTCCGCATCGTTCTTGCGTGGCTATTAATTTAATCTCAACGATTATTACAATTACACGAGTTATCATTTAATATTTTATCGTCGAGAGCTCGTTTGCGCATCGTATCGATGTCGTAACATCGATACGAATTATATTACTAAAAGTTAAAAGAAGTATGCAGTAGATGAACATAATAAAACGGATAAAACTAAATTAGAGCTGTACAAGTAATCAAACTTAATAATTTTTCATTTTTTATATTAAATAAATTACAGTGTAACTGCTTATCATAGTAAATAACTAATTTTCCATGTTTAATCCGAGCGGCTGACTATGCCTGGTTTTAATTAGAAACATACAAAAAAATATCTATATTATCATCTGGGGAATTTCCGCTTTTTTGTAAGTTTTCCTATTTTTATATGAAATAAAAAATAAAAATCAAGCCACGGCGTTTTACGAACGCCGTTTATAAAGAACTCGTAAATTATAGTAATCCTGATTATCTAAGCAAAGTTTAAATTTCTATCTGCTTGTGATAGTTGGCACGTGAGCGCAATATACAGTGGTTTTCTAAAGCGGTACAGCTGATATCATAAACAAGACACCGCAGTGCGCGGCACGAAGCGCGGTTTAATCTACTGCAAATACAGGGCGCTTCACTTAAATCAAGGCAATGTCAAGAAGAGAGAACGGACCCCTTTGTCGGTTCTAATCTGTACAAACAATCGTATATCTAACAGTCGTCGACCAAGCTCTCGGTTTATCCAAATTTATCCTAGTAGCAGCTTCTGGAAAATG